CTTTCTTAAGCAATGGTATCCGTCCATAATGCTTGCACATGGCTTGTATATATAGAGGAGAGGGGGGAGCAAGGTTTAATGGAAATAAATCAAGTCATTAAAGTCGTGTTTTAAGGCCATGAATGACATTTTGAATTCTTGCCAAAAATGAGATTCCATGCCTTGTTTGATGCTGAATGAATCTGGACACCCCCTGCACGTGTTCATGGGCCTCATGTCAAGATAAAACAATAGCCTAAAGGTCAAGACCCATTTCCAATTATTTTGTACCATTTATTTTATATTTATTTGAAATAAATAAAATAAATATGATTAAAATAAAGGAAAAATGAAAGGTACGGTATAAATGCTTTTAGAGGTCCTTTATAATGACAGGAGGGTGTTTGAAGTCCAAAAAGTTAAGCCATTGACTTAAAAGTTTAAGTTTGCTCAATGCACAAATCTTTAAATTTCCAAAATTTTCCCAACTTGGGCAAACCATAACTTGCTCAATTTTGATCTCATGATAATGATATTGGACTTTTTGGAAATCCCAATATGTCTACTTAAATCTCTCTTTTAATTAATTTTGCATTTGAAGAATTTATATTGATGTAAATAGTCTTGGCAAAAAGTGTCTTTTGTTGACTTTCTGAAAATGACCTGTAATGTATCAGCTTGTATCTTTCAAATGGTGCATTTCTTGGACTTGAGGAAAAAAGAGAAGTGTTGTGGAATTGTATTATATTAAAATGAACTTTGGTTGGGTAAAAATGAATGAAGTATGTGAGAGTTATGTCTGGTCAAAGTTCAGTTGACTTTTCCTATAGAAACCTTAATTTAGAAAATCTTAACTTTTGATGAATTAGGAACATTTCTTGAGGAATCATGATCAACCCTTGATCAAATGATGGATATCACTTCAAAATGTTGATGTTGACCAAAAATCGTGAAGTTTGACTGTATTTGGGCCACTGTTGACTTTTGACCTAGTACAGTTGATTTTCAAACATTTGAGCCATTGACTGAGCAAACTTGTAGTGCAAGACATGAAACTTGGCATGGGCAATCTTGAAGGCATATTAGGACAATGGAAAACATTATAGACCTTTGGAGCTCACACATCTTGATTAAAAGTGAAACCCTAGTTAGAGGTTCATTGCTTAGGAGTAGAATTTGTCTGATCAATTCTTGGTCAACCTTGAGCAATTGAGAATCTCTAAGATCATGCCTTGAGTGAAAATGGGAGGGTAAATTTTGGGGTACAACAATATGAATGTGTATATTTCTCTGAAATCTTTTTATCCGTGGCAAGGTTAGAGGCAATCTGACTTCTTCTCGCTTATGTTATTAATCATGATATTGTTTTTTATCAAATGGATTTTAATAGTGCTTTCTTAAATGGAGTCATTTATGAAGAAGTGTATCTCAAACAACCTCCTGAGTTTGAGGACCCCATCCACCCATACTTTGTTTTCAAACTAAATAAATCTTTCTATAGACTCAGGCAAACTCCAAGAGCTTAGTATGAGAGATTGAGCAATTTCTTAATTGAAAGTGGTTTTCAAAAAGGTCGGGTTGAAACTACGTTATTTAGAAAGACTCTAAATAAGGATATCTTAATTGTCCAAGTTTATGTTAATGACATAATTCTTGGTTCCACTAACGCCTCTATTTGCAAGCAATTTTTTGAGACTATGCAGGTTGAGTTTGAAATGAGCATGATGAAAGAATTAAAAATTTTCCTTGGGATTCAGATCAACCAAGGCAAAAATGGAATTTATGTTCATCATTCAAAGTACACAAAGGAAATTCTAAAGAAGTTTAATCTTAAGGATTGAAAAACCATGGCAACTCATATGCACCCAACCCACAATCTGAATATAGAGGAGAGTAGCACCAAAGTAGATCAAAAGTTGTATTTAGGTTTCAAAGCTATTGAAGTTGTGCTTGCTTCAAGATATCTTGATCTCTTCATGCCTCTTTTCAATGCATTCCTTCACTACCTTGATCTCCTTGACCACGATAACCTCTGAAGTGATGGGGATCTTGAAGTTCTTGAGAAGTACTCATTTTTTATTTAAGATTGGAAGATGATTTTTCTGGTTTTTTGGACTCAAGGAGGTATGCTTTTACAGTGGAATATTGGAAGATTAATCATGTTGCGTGTTGTTATACTTGATTATTGAAAGTTTAAATACCAATAGTCATTAATTCATATTGTACCTGCTCATTATTACATATTTTCACTTCTTAGTTTCCATTTCTTGAAAGCTGACAAGATATTGACTTACTGCCCCCAAGAAGTAATTATTTGCTCTTTTCTTCCTTTGGTCTCTTTAGTTTCTTGGAAGCTGAAATGTAATGGAGTATTGTTCATAATTTTTTACATTTTTTTCTCTGTTCGGTATCTTTTTCTCTCTCTATCTTTTTATTTACTTTTTTGTTGAAAACAAAAGGGGTCGAAATATGAGAGTATTTAAAAAGGTTGATAAAAACATTTTTGATGTTTTTATTAGCATCTGAACCCATATAATGTAACTTATGTTTATATACTTAATTTTGTTGATTAATTATTCTTAATCAAAATAAGTTTAAATAACTTGGATAAGACTTAGGAGGAGCTTACAAAACTCAATCTTTAGACTATTAAACTCAGGGGGAGCTTACAAACCTCAGACTCTGATGTTAAATTAATTAACCTGACCAACTATTATTCTTAAATACTTTTGTTTGTCATCATCAAAAAGGGGGAGATTGTTAGAACAAAATTTGTTCATACTCTTTAAGTTTTGATGATAACAAATTACTTAAAGAATAATTAGGTATCCTAATATTTGTTTAAGTGTGCAGGATCAATAAGCTCTAAATTAACTTGGTTCTGACCTAGTTAAATATCTTATGAAGAGAAGCAAGTGACTCAGACTCTGATGGATCAGAATCTGATCAATACTTGGAACCTCATCTTCTGATGACGGTTCAGAATGATGACATGGACACATAGTGCAGTGCCTCTGGTTCGTACTCCGTGTCAAGCAGCTTCATCTTGTCAAAAAGCCAGATTATGGGGAAAGTCAACTAGGATTCCTAGTTCAAGGTTCAAGGTTTTGTGACACCACTTCTTTAGTCGTCCTCAGCATCCCTATGATTGTCTTGCTTCAGAAAGACATAATGGATAAAACATTTATTCAGAAGTTGAAGATCTTAACAGTACCAACTTTCAACGTCTCTCTCTTAGAAACTGCTTCTCAACAAAGACACTCGTGTAAGTTATCTTCCAATGTCTCTATTGTTGCCTCTATATAAGGAGATGAAGATTCAAAGGACAAAGTACAACAAGATTTTACAACGATAATAAGAATTTCCACTAAACTCTAATATATATTTGTTGTATTGCACATAGTCTTGAGATTTCTTACCTTTGTATATCTTAAAAATCTCAAGTAACAAGTTCTTTGACCGTGTTGTATTCTTTGTGTACCTCTGATTGTATATCAAATACGCCTTGTTGTAAAAACTAAACATTTTTGTTTAGAATCTGTAAAGTCTCAGACTGAGTGTTTAAGCAAGAAAGTCTCTAGCAAGGTTGCTTAAACAAGGAAGTTATGAACTGGTGTGTTTAGGCAAGGAAGTCTCTCTCGAGTTTGATTGAGCCAGGAAGTCTTGGATTGATTTTTCTAAGCAAGTTGTAATCAAGTTTTAATTATAGTGGAAAATATCTTGTGGAACAAGGGGACTGGACTACTCTCAGTTGTAGAGAAACCAGGATAATTTTTAAGTGTGTTTTTACTTATTGCTTATGTGCTTTAAATCTTTTCGCTGCTACTCTTGCTCAGAATCTGAACTCATTCAGATTCAGAAGTTGTTGTTTTCAAGAAGCAAAAATTTTCCTCTTATACAATTCACCCCTCCCCATTCTTGTATATTTTTCTCACCTTCAGTACTAACCTTACAGGTCAACTCCATTCTCATCGTATTGGAAGCTCAAATCTACTGTTACATCCCAAAACCTCCGATCTCCGATCAATTCTGATTCTATAATGAAACAATTATTCTTTTACTCTCTATATCTTTGTCTTTGGTTTGATTGTTTGAATTTTGTGCATGTGTTCTAGATTCGTTTTGGTTTAATATTTACATGTTGGATTGTTTACATTTGTTTCCACAGTCATTTCTTTCATTTTTCTTGTCGATCTATTCCAAAAAAAAAAATTAATGATTCTTTGTACTATATAATCGAAATATTTGAATAGGAGTGGTGTTTCGCGGAAAACACTATATTATATCTCTTATGTATGGATTAATGCTATATTGTTCGGAGGTTGTTATGTGTTTTTCCCTTAACATTATAAGTCTTTTTAGGTTAAATATTGATGTTTATTTTTGTTATGGCATGGACCGATGCCCAGTCCATTAGAATTCGGATCACCTAAAGTTAACAAATAGACGCAGTTCAAAAGACACATTCGCCATAAAGGTGCACCATATCAAAATTGCCCAACCATTATGAGTCATTAGATACCATAGCCACATAACATGTTGGCAATTGTCTTTTTGAGACACGTGTCTTCTAAAAAGAATTTTAGGGCCTCAAACCATAAGGGTCTTCTAAAAAAAATATCTACCCCGAGTCAATTTTTATTAGTATTGATGAGCTGTAAGATCCAATTGCTTTTTGATTTTAGAATTTTAATTTACAGTCACATTATATGGTAGATTTCAATTCAAATCAACCTTATATCTCTCGTAGAGTATTATTATTTTTTTATGTTTGATATATCATATAACATTGTGTTTAACTACTAAACATTGTTGCTACTTAATAACTTAACAATATTCAGGAAAACAAGCTCTTATGATGTCTTATTTCAACCCAATTACTTTCAGCAACTTGTCCATTGATAGATAAAATAATGCTAACAATATTCACTCTTTAACATTTTTTGAACACTTTTTTTTTTTTGTTAAAGTGAGTGTTGCTAACATTTTTCTCTCAGCAGATACATACTAAACCATATATTTTAGGGTATGGGATGAATGACAATTTTTCCAACTGCTCTTGAGGTTTCCAAGTAGGAAAAAGCTTCAATGACATCAGAAAATGGTACTGGAGTTTTAGGGTCAAGAATTGGCTTCAATTGACCACTTTCAAAGTAAGGTCTTAACTTCTCTAGAATAGATCCTTTAGAAGTAAGCGCAAAAAATATAGCTGGTGAAAATCCAGGAGGTACTATTGACACAATTTTTCCACCTTCCTTAATTGCCTTCAAAGCTCTATCAACTTGCCCTGCATCATAGTTACAAAGTATCAATGATTTTAAAAACCTATATTGATAGATTAAACGTCAACGCTAGAATTCTAACCCTGAATAACACCGGGGTTCTAACCTTGAATCTCACAGTTGAGCGTGTGTAAAAATATGTATATCGAAAACAATTTGATTAAAATGTCTTACCTACTAAATCATAAATCACATCAAACTTTTCTGGAAGATCTTCAAAGTTCTCCTTTGTATAATCAATTGGCAAATCAACTCCTAAATTCCTCAAAAGTTGGAGTTTTCCACTGCTAGAAGTTGCTGCTATCTTAGATGCACCATAAACATGCTTGGCAAGCTGCACCCAAACATATTACTATTCTAGCTTTAGTCTCTTAATTTATACTCAACTTAGGTATTAATCCTTTAGAAAAACTTAATATTCCTCACTTTATATAACACTATTATCTTTGAACAAAAATGTGTCTGATATCTGATACGTGTTAATATACCAACACACGTGTTAGTGTCTAATGTCTGACACATGTCAGTGTCTGACACAAACACACATGTTAATGTCTGATGTCTGATACATATCAATGTCTGACATTAACACACACCTGATTATTATCGATGTTGACGTGTCACTATGATGTTTGTCTTTGATTTCAATGTTTTATAGTTAGACTTGGACTCAATCTTCACATACCTGAATAGCAAAACTTCCAACTCCCCCAGCACCTCCCAAAACAAGAATAGATTTTCCAGCAGAAAACTCAGCTCTTTCAAGTCCTTCATAAGCAGTTTCCATAGCTAAAGGAACACTAGCAGCTTCAATGAAGCTTAGATTCTTTGGCTTATGAGCCAATAGTTTCTCTTCAGCTATTGTATACTCAGACAAAGTTCCAAGACTCTTTAGGTTTGAAAGTCCTTCTTCATTGATGTCACCATATACTTCATCTCCAACCTTAAATTTCACCACTTCACTTCCCACTTTAATCACTACACCAGCAACATCAAAGCCTGGTACAATCTTCTCACACAAGAACATAATAGTTCATAAAACACAAAACATGAAAGTACTAGTAACTATGAAGCATGAACACAAGATCCGAATAACGGACACAACACTTACATGTCAAAGTCTATAATAATTTGAAAGTAATCACAAGTGTTGGTGTCGTGTCAATATCAGTGTTTGATAGTGACACAGACACCAAACCGGTGTTGGTGCTGCATAGAAAAATAATACAAAATCTCCAATAATTTGAATAAAAGAGAAAATGAGCATACAGGTAGATGAGGGTCAGTGTCCTTGAACAAAGCATGCATCCTCTTGTAATCAACAGGATTAAGGGAAGCAGCAACAACCTTAATGAGAAGTTGATCATGTTTGAGTTGTGGTATAGACCAATTAGGATGTAATTTTAGAATATCTAATGGTTTTCCATGTTCTGAGTAGAACCAAGCTTTTGTATGAGTTGGGATAGTAGGATCAGTGCTTGAAGCTTCTGTTTCCATATTTTTTTGGAAGTAAAAGGAAATAGAGGGGCTTAGTAGGTACAAGAGATGAGAGATGGAATATAAATATCGACAATTATGGACTTTCATTTCAAGGTTATCGTTCCACCTCAGCTTTTCTTAGGACACCATATAAAATTCTAAAAATGCTTCTGAAAATTGAAAATTTATTTTTAATTTATACTTCTACAGATATATAATTTATTTGTTTTTAAAATTCGCTTCATTTTAAAATAAAATATATTCTAAAAATATATTTATGATATAAATCAGAAATAGATTTTCAGATTCTATTATTCCAATTACTTTGAATTGTCAGAAAAGACTATTAACAGGAGCCACCTTAAGGGTAGTTATAGCTGGTGGAGCTTATGTGGTACTGTGGATGAAGCTACTTTCTGGTACTTCATTTGGGAGTTTGAGTGTTGTAAGCATTTTGATTTGCTTCTTAAATTGTGCTTTTAAAATATAATTTTATTTATTTTCTCATCTTAAGGGTAAAAAATTAGGTGTATTCAGATGTTTTCACTATAACATTTTTGAAGTGATTATACTAGAGTAATGGTATTGATAATGCTTGATTTGAAGATGAAATGGATACATTTGAAATGAATGATTGGATTTTGAACTATATTCTTTGCGGTGGATGGTTGTTCTCAACAACAAAGAAGTGCATCATAAAGCTTATCATAAAGGAAGTGTATATATTTTCTGTTTATATCGAAAGTGTATTTTTAATTTTATTTAAATACAATTTTAAAATAATATGTCTAAAATATATTTTTGATTTCAAAATAACATTTTAGAATTTAGGTAGAATCTTTCTTTTTATTATGAGGTGGAATAAAAAATTTCTCATCCTATACTCATTGACAATTTATAGGCTCACATTTCAAGGTTATTAATATAAGCATTATTGGAGTACCAAAATCATATGTAAGGAGGATATATCATGATCGATCAAATGACACCAAATTATTTAATTTTAATAACATCACACTTTCAATAATTTTTTTTCATCTTATATTCGTTTAGTAAAATTTATTATTGAATTGAAATATATTATCATATAAATTATTTATATATTTATAAAATTTAGTATTAATTAAAAATTATTTGACATGTCAATAAATGCATAAAAATTAACATTTTAAATTTTTTTATGAAAATCGTTAATTTTTATATTCTCTTTAATATATTAAATATTTTTTTATTGATATAAAAATTTATATAATAATCTATATAATAATATCTTTCAATTTAACTGTAGATTTTGTTATACGAACATGGAGTGAAATTTTTTCAAAAGTGTCATATTATTAAGTTTGACACTTTGGTGTCATATAAGGTATCTACCTGTGAGAAAATAATTTGGCACAACATATTATTTATTTTATGTCAAATAAAAAATATTAATTTATTTTATATGCTAAAATATTAAATAAATTTTTTATTTTGTGATTAATTTATTTCATTGAATAACAGAAAATTATCACTAATTAACTTATTATCTAATTTATTTTATTACGCAAATATTAAAGTCATGGTTGAAAAGTGATTATTTGTTATTAAAAAAATTAATATTAGAAGTCTTTTAAGAAAATTTAATAGAAATATTTAAAATTAAGATTAAACATACATTAGTGGAGAGAGAGAGAGAAAATTATACTACCCACTACCCAATTTTTAATGCTGTATTATCAACCCACTAAATTTTAACAATATTATATTTATTTTTTATTATTATAAATATTTTAATGCTTTAATTTTTATAATTGTGGAGTGTTGACCGATCTTTGTTCACTCTAGTATTTGTTTTTTTGTGCATGATACATCCGATAGAAAACAGTGCTTGCAATACAATAATATTGACACCTAAATAGATTTAGATGTCAGAGATTTGTATCTTTCCTACCAATTTATTTACACTATCAGATTATTTAAGAAATCAGATAAAATAAAAAGATTAATTTAAAATTAAAAAATTAAGTAATAGTTTGGTTTGGTTTATTTATATTTTTGTTATGGGTCAATTCAGTTTGGATTGATTCCCCGAGTACAGCTGAACCGTATAATTCAATTTTATAATATAGGAGAAAAATGCCATCCAATGGAACAGTGTCCTGATGTAAATTTCAAAAATTAAATATTTGCCTAACAACAAAACCAATTTAACATTCTAAAACTGAACCAACCACAAGTAAACAGAACTACAGCGGCAAAACACAAATTACTCAAGCATCTCATGTGGAGTATTGTACAAAAGGAGGGACCTAATGAGACTAAAAAAGAATATGAAGAATTTGTTTCAACAAATTTAGAGACAAATTTGCGAGATCGTTGAAAAGTTCATATCAACATGCACATCCACTCCTCTGCTCATTTTCTGGAGCAGCAGCCTCTGGAATAGGTTGAAAATATCTGCAATCGATAATGAAATATTGAATTCACAAGTCAGTTAAGCAGCCATCTGCTCAAACTTCTTTCTTATCAGATAGAAAGAAGTATAAAAAAGAATGAAGGCAAACATAGCTTACATATTGTGAAAGGTTTATGCATTAAGGTGAAATGATGAATATACAAGTAATACTCAAAGACTCTTCAGCTTTTCTTTTTCGAAAATAGGTCTTGATTGCAACACATGCAGACTTTTCAATTTTATTATTTTTAAAAGCCCTAAAACTCTTCTTCTATTGTCATTACATCCGCTAGTAGAAACTGGAATAGTGGCTGCTATTGCCTTAATAGAGAAACTAGGATAGCCTCTGCAGTATTTATAGCAGATTTATCAAAATATGTTACACTGTAGTGTTACACCATTGCTGTTGCTGTTACTGTTATTTGACAACACAACTTACAAGTTTATAAATGTTTTTATGGGTAAGCTAAATGATAAAACTTAAAAGAAAATTGAGGAGCAGAAGTTGTTTCCATTAATGATTTCTGTTAGAAGCCAAGAGTTAGAACTTAGAATACACATGGTTATTTCAATTAGTACTTGGAAAAGTTTAGCCAAATTGACTGTATCCCTAATATTATCAAGTTGAATAGTTCTAATATGGCTTGATATCAACATGTCAACCTATTGTAATTTGCTTATAAATGTGATAAGGATCCCTTAATATTATAACATCTAGCTTGTAATTAAACTCAAAGGAAAATGTCTAGGAAGTAAACATAATTGGGAAAAAAATCTAAATTTAAATTTAAAACAATTAAAACCATGTGTTTGTGTGAATGAGAGAGAGATTATGTGTTTGTGTGAATGAGAGAGAGATTATGTGTTTGTTTGTGTGTGTGAGTGTGTGTGTGAGAGGGAGAGAGATTATGTGTGGGTTTGTGTGTATGAGAGAGAGAGAGATATGTGATATTGTGTATCAGCGTGCAAAGCAAAAGCAAATCTTACATGTCCTGGTCACGCTCATTGGCTAAGGCAGTCTTGGCAATACATAGGAATGCGGCATCAACATTATAGTCCTCTTTTGCCGATGTCTCAAAGTAAGGTATATTACCTTTTGAAGCACACCAGTCCTTTGCTTTCTTTTCAGAAACCTGTATAGAAGATAATTAGACCCTTGAGCAGGAGACAGAGAAACTTATAAGTGCAATAGCATTTTCTTTACCACTCGACTATTCCCGCCATCAATATCAATTTTGTTTCCAAGCAATATAAATGGAAAAGTCCTTGGATCAGAAGGGTTTGCCTGTGTCACAAAGCATTAGTCATAACCAAAGCCTATCTGCAATGGTAAAAGAAAACGGAAATCCAAAAGTAAAGGATGTGCAATATTTTGAAAAGGAATAAGAATGTTCATAGGGAAATCAAAGAATGTAGAGACTTCACGTGTCGAACTAGCCATCTAAACCAAAATGAAACGATAATTAATGACCCAGAAAGTTATGCATCCTCGCTGGAAAAATTATAATAAGTTTGTCAGCTCAATGAACTTCAACATCCGGAGGGCTCAAATCTTTTCAAACAGAAAAATCTCTATCCGGAGCAGTGCAATTACATAGCAAATCATGTTGTGGTATATTTTATTCGATAAGAATTTGAATGCTTCATTCATTAAAAAAAATTCATGCTCCAATTTATACAAATTACATCATAGAAATTCAAAGACGACAAGAAAAGGACATTCAAACTTGAATGTAATAACATGTATCTTGGTATAGTGAACCAAGTATGTGAGTATAGAAGAAAGTCATCTAAGGTTCTGCTGTCTCAAAGCAATGACAGCCTGTTCAGTGCCATATTGGCACCAACCAGTTAGGCCTTAAAAGCCTGTAACATGTTGCATGACATAGGTTAGTTTCTGACAGTTATAAACTGTCATAGTTAGTTAAAGTAAGTGAAGGTTAAGGATAAGCTAATGTACAAATACCTGTAATCTGAACAATCAAGTTCAATTATTGAGAATCAATAAATACATGAAAATCATCTATCATTTTTTCTTCTTTTTTTCTTATCTTAGTGTCATACAGCTCTAGTTCGGAGAACAAAGGGAAGCTGACTAAGGCAACCAGTGAAGGATGGAAAATAGTTACAATGGTAAAATGTGATGTGTACCAACAGGACCCTCTTCCAAAGCAAATGGGCCAAAACCACCAATAATGAGAAGATTTAAGCCTCTGAGAAATGTGGAATGAGACTCATAACTAGTTCAATAAAATTGTGTGTGGAGGAAGTACAAGCTGTCTGTGAAGTAACACTATAGTACTAATGGGCCAGGTCCAGTTAAGCATAGAGATTTGGGATGCTGGAGAGGGAGATTGTTCTGTATTAGCTGCAGGAGGGGAGTTTTTGGTCCAGCCCAAAAGCAAAAGGCATTCTTTGGTGAAACAATAATAGGCCAAGTCCATATCAAACAGTGGGATCATGCTAGCTTATTGGGTTTATTCATTCTTCATCTTGAGGACAATGTGAAACTTGTTAGGGGAGGTGTTGATAGGCTCGTTATTAATGTGAGGGGAGGAAATAACATAATCCCTTATTCAGAGGGGGACAACGGATTGGGGAGGTAGGCAATTCCTGAGTGGATTTTTTTGTGTTGTGTAGAGAGTAAGGAGCTGACCCTTCTCTCTGGTTCACCTCTGTTTTTCATTTTCTTTTGTTAGGTTATTCTTCCATTTCAGTTTCCTTTGTTGTTTTCTTCAATGTTACATTCCTAACCATTGTAAGAGGACAAGTCCTTTCCTCTGTTTCTCTTAATACAAAAGCAATTTTCAGTGATCTTCCCTTATTTCTTAGTTTGTTCCTATCCAACACCAAACAAATATAAGGATTCTGCAAGTCCTTCTCAAAAAATAAGCATGCAAAAACTATCTCCAATCTTAGAACATGTTTGGAAATCAAAAGAAGACAAGCAAGCAATGCATGAATTACATTATGTAATATGCTCTTGTGAAGGAAGACTAATCAAGCTAGGAAAGGTGGAATCAACCTCCCTCTTGGATGGTAATACTTATACTGGTTCAAGACACACAAAAAATAAATAACCTATGTTTTCACTATTATTTAACCTCACAAGAAACATTCAGAAGCAACCGCTTTCTCAACAAACTAATGGAGAAGATGCTATGAAGCAAAACCATGGTCATGAGTTATTACATAACCAAATATAACTAAAATAACAAAGCTATATGAAATAAATCGAAATCAATTATTGGCACTGCTGCAACTACAAGTATGAAGTTTAAAATCCATATTCAGATCTAATTACAAACCTAATCCTATACAAATGAAGAAAAGAGGTTCTCTACTTCCATAATAATTTCAAAGCAGTTTGTGTTCAGAACTTGTCCCACAAAACATAGAGGAATCTGTTTGTTAATAGTTATAGCCTATAATTAATTGAGAAAAAGGAATATGCACTGACAGTGTAAAACGATTTACACTGTCAACCTGAGGGACATGTATCCCACCAAGTCATGCTTTTATTTTTAAAATACTGACATGACATGGCTGAATGATAAAATCCTATTGGATGATGGTGTAAAACTATTTTACACCGACAGTGCACTACCATTAATGTCTAATTTATTTCAACCTAACATTTGAAAGTGTGTTAAGAGGACCAAGGCTATCATGCAAATCACCCAAAGTAACAAAATCAGAAAAATAGAGAACGTAGTAAACCTGTTTGAGAAACTCCTCGTGCCAGTTCTCAAGTGTATCAAATGACTTCATAACATTAACATCATAGACTAGAACACAGCAATCTGCCCCTCTATAAAATGCAACACCAAGACTTTGAAATCTCTCTTGCCCTGCAGTGTCCCATATCTACAGCCCAGACACAGCATTTAAATATACACAATCTACATAATAATAAACCTAAACACAATAAAAGAATAATGAAATACCAATGAACTAGAAAACCCACTTGTAGAGTAACAAGTCTGTCATCAATCTGCAGTTCTTTGGTGACAAAATCAGCACCAATTGTAGCTTTATATTGCTGACTAAACTTCTTGTGCACATATCTAAACAAGTAGTAAAGGCCCACAAATGCAAATTTCACAAAAGGATAAAGTCTTCGAGTAACCTTAAATTGATCTTTAGCCAAACTATCATATATTTTCTTTTTTTGGGTATATAATGGGTATCCTCTGCACGCAGCTGCAGAGATTAATCCCTCAGAGCCTTGTAGGACCATAATAGGCGGAAAATTCTTCCAAACAATCACATAGTTTACAGAAGCATTATATTTAAAGAAACTCAGCATTTAATATGTATCAGTTCCAATTATGTGCCAAACCACATTCAATGCTAGAGAGCAATAACAACACATTTTAGGGTAGTGTTAAGAAGCCATAATCTACCAATGATTAAGGATGGTAGTTGGAGTAACAGAAAATAGTAAGGAACAACAAACACTCCTACCTACCTCCAATAGTCACTAAGCATGTCAATTCATTGATTATATCAAGAAGTATTTTCCATATATCATCTCTAATATTAATGGCTCATAATAGAATTTCAGCTGCTCTAAAGTGGGACACAGTTTTAAATAAAAGCCCGCGACTACAGTTTGAGCCGCGACAACAACAACAAAAACAACCAAGCCTTATCCCACTAAGCGGGATCGGCTACATAGATCAACTTCCGCCATAATGTTATATCCAGGACCATACTTTTATCCAAAGCGTTAATCTTGAGATCTTTATCAATAACTTCTCTTATAGTTTTTGTAGGTCTTCCACTACCTCTAGTTGTTTGACTCTTCATCTGATTTACTCTCCTTACCACATAATCTACGAATCTTCTCTCTACATGCCCAAACCAAACCATCTCGCAACTGAGGCTGCATTTAACCTCAATTCTCCATGATATCAAAAATCACAACAAACCACACAACCATTACTACGATTTAAAACCCGGACGAGAGTTGCATCCTAAAATGGTAAATTAGACTACTTAAGTATTGTGGTAATTAATTGATTGAGAAATTAAACGTGGTTAACAAATCATAAAGCACTTAACCTCAACCCCCGCAGTTATAATTCAACACCCCCACTCCCTTATTAAAAAAAAATCCCAATTTTTAATTAAAAGAAACAAATCAGTGGAGAATCAAATAAAGCAATAAAGTAACGGCACAGGATACTGATTCATCAATGAAGTTTTTCCAACCCTAACAAAAAGAAAAAGTTAGAAAATCAAAACAAAAAAAAAAAGAGAATAGAAACCCTAAAACGGTTACGGTTAGGGTAGACTTACCCACTGTCTCCAAGAACAATGACTTTGAGCAAAGTCCGTCTGCGTAATGCCATTGATTATGGATTATTAGGGATAAAAGTAAGGATTTAGGGATTTGAATTTGTAGTTATAGTTGTACAATTGAATTGTGGATCGATGTTAGAGAGATGAGAGAGAAAAGGGAAAAGGGGCGCCAATTTAGATCGATTCGTTTTTTTTGTCACCTGCAAATGCTGTGCACTGTTTCGCTGTTATACACTTGCATCGCTTTCGACGTCCTATCATTCTTTTTTTTCTTTTTCTTTTTTGGTTTGTAAAATGATTAAATTGCCGACATGATTAATTCACTTAATTTTAGGTCAGGATTTCAACTTTGTTTTTACTGTTGTTTTTTAAAAGTAAATTTAATTTTTTTTAAATGGGATTGAATTTGTCTCAGTTGAATTTGATCCAATCAACTTTTTAAACAAAGATGTTTTTTTGAAATAAATTTATATATATTCTTTTTCATTTTTTTTAACAAGAATCATTGTGTAACGTTTGTCTTGTATATTTACGAGATTTATGACTGAAAGATCATCTAGATTGAGACACAGCAGGGTTTCACAGTATGCTTTAGTTCAGAGGAAAAAAAAGTCAACTATCTCAAGCTCCTTTACCTCTAGACCAGTTGATGTTGAGGCGGCGTTAGATTCCAAGGCTCATGTCTCTTCGCATTCTTCTTCGTCCTCCCGCAGTAAGTGAGGTTCTCCTGCTCATGCCTCTCCACCTTCATCTTCACGTAGACGCATGAGTTCACATATTCAGGTACCTATGGCATAAGAGACATCATAGTCTCAGACGACACTTGAGGTACCCCGGTCTCAGGCAACACCGACGGTACTTGATTCATCACAATCCCAGGCGGCACCTGAGGCATCACAGTCAACTCAATCCTAGCTGGAACTTGATGTATCATAAGCATATGAGGCCGCACTTGCGACACCTCGGGATTTTGGAGGAGACCCGTCAGACTTATCATTGATGCCTCTTTACCCAGACCATCTTGCCAAACATATATGGGACGGGGAGGTAAAATTTAGTTGGAATTATTTAACCTAACTTTTGTTTGTTTTATTATTAAGTTTTGTTTGTTTGAATCATTCTTGTTAAACCATGTTTGCATGAACGTGATCCGCTAAAAATCATCAACCATATACAGAAGATCAGTCTCTTGGAAGAGCCCAATGAGTCGTGGTTTCAAGAAGTGTTACAACTATCAGGGTTGCGAGATTTGAGTCATATTGTTTATACTATAATTAACCATGTATGATTAATGTTTTTGTAGAGAGATGGCATATGAAGAGCTTATTCTTCCATCTACCACATGGTGAGATGTCTATCACATTGAATAATATCGCGTGTCTGTTGCATTTTTCGATTACGTGGAGGTTTTTAGATCATGGGAAGTGTGGCAAAGAAGAGGGACTAGAATTGATGATAAAATACTTAGGATTTAAATCAGAGAGTGTCATGAAGGAGCTTTACAAGACCTGTGGGGCTCATGCTAGGTTTAGCTATTTGCAGCAGGTGTTTGAAAAATACATAGTGAGAGCACAACAAGCTGATGGTAATGTTGAGCATGTAGAGAAACACAGAGTATATGCTATGAGAGCATGTATGTTGTATTTGGTTGGCACTGCCATTTGTATGGATAAGAGTTCCACTTATGTGGTTGTCAAATACCTGCGGTACTTTGAGGATTTTGAGGAGATCTATGAGTACAACTAGGGAGTGATTGTTTGGTCTACCTGTACTCTAAATTATCTGAAGGTTGTATGTGGAATACGAAGTAGGTTACCAACATTATCACACTTTTGACAGTAATATTTCTTAGTCTTGTGTTGCTTGTGTGTCATTTAGTTAATTATTGCAACGACGTTAGTAACTAATGATTCTTTTTTTCAGGCGTGGATCCTACAACACTTCCCACGCATCTCCAGTTGGTCACTTGAGCCAACTTATACTGATGATAAGTCATGTGCTTCTGCATTCTCCCTATTCAGAGTGAACCAGACGACAAAGTTGTTCAGGGTGTATATTGACTACTTAGTCGTTGAGGATATACACTATCATACATATGTCGATTAATGTGTGACGATTTCGTTTGATGGCATTGTCTTATACTCAAGATAGTTGGCTTGTGGGTCACATCTGACGGATCCTCATCTGCCTTAGTGTGTCATGCGTCAGTTCAACTACATGCAGTACATTCCCAGAGATCTTGTTGTGTCTGCTCCTGCCACTATGAAACACAAAGATATGGATGCTATGTTTGATGATTATCTTAAGCATTTGGTACCGGATAAGGCATGGAGTACCATAACACTAAATGATTGGAGATACGTAGATGAATATATTTGGTGGTTCTTCCAGGTGTCACATCCTTATATGGTACAAGATGCTCCAGGCGATCCACCTAGGTCAGCGCATTAGGAGATACTAGAAGAGGAGCAGGTTAGGGTAGATCATGCTCATGATGTCTTGCCTAGGTGTCGTCGTATTGTAGGGATTGGGTAGGCGAGTATTGATGGAGGACTCTTTCTGGATGGCTCTGAGGCAATGGGTGTTTTAGATGCCATATGGCGGAGACTCTGCAGTATAGGGGGCAACATATGAACGTGGAGATACGAGGGTGAGGCCGACTCATAGTTCGCCAGACGCAATAGATTATTGTACATGTACTCTTGATACATTTTGGTGTATTTTGTTTATCAACTTCAGTGTAATTTATGGATTGAATTTGTGTAATCTTGACTTATAACATTATATATGTTGTTTTATTCATATTATTACTATAGTCGAATCTTAGAATATGTTCTAATTTTATTTGATGTGAGAATCATTCACAAATTAACATGTGTTATTGTTTGCATAAATTTTGGAAATACATCTCTGACAGTGTTATAGATATGTATTTTAAACAAAAAAAAAAGTGTGTCTGAAGATACATTTTTGAAAATTGAGGATCTTTTTGGAGATTGCATAGAATGTTTTTAAGATATATAGAATAATTTAAAAGAAATTCCTTTTTATTTTATTAAATTGTGAATGTAAATTTGTGCATGATATATCTATGAAATTTAACTTTATATTATTAATTTATTTAATAAACGGTTTGACCGTAGATTTAACCGATTAACTAATTAAATCTTAAATAAAGAGTTTTATCTGTTCAACATCTATTCCATTTTTAAATCATTGAAAATTTTAAAATTTATAAAATTATTTGTTTGGGAACTCGTAAAACTAGTAAAAAAACTACATAGTCATTTATGAGTATCATGTTTTTATATAATTACTATAGGTGTATATATTTCTATTTAATAAATATTTATTAAATGTCCAAATATTATGGTCAAACATTAAAAAATATTGTCATTGATAGATTAGACATCATTACTTAAATTTACTGAATCACACTGTTGTGTGTAAATTTTAAATAGTTATTATCGTTCCTCTGCATATAAAAACGATTAATTGTCCATTCATACAATACATAAATATGTTTTATTTAATTATTTATTCTTCAATTCCTTTTTAAATGTCATTTTTTTATCTTTCTCATATGAAAGAAGTTAATAAATTTTATTACTCTTCATACAATGCAATAGTTGTCCTTTTACCTAGTACTATAACCTTTAACTATTTTTTAATTCATTTTATTTTTTTCCTCTTTCTCTAAAATAAATAATTATAAGTAATTTTTATAAAAAAGTGCAATTAGTTAGTACTACCTGAAGTTTGAAAACGATAGATAAATAGAAACAAAAATTTATTAAAATGAATTGATATAAATTGGATACAATGGAGTGGTATGACATGTAATGAAGTGTTATTTCATTGTCTTTATAAATTAAAATCAGATGGATCAAAATAGAATTGCCTGGTATGACTTTCATTTTATTCCATCACTTATCACCATATTTATTTCTTTCAAATTTAGACGAAAAGAAAAGTGTACCTTATTCGGTCATAAAATATACAAACAATAGAATATAATTGTCATTCCACTCTTCTTCATTTTATTCTGCTTAATTCATTTTATGGTATTCAAGGATAGACTTAAAAAGGAATAGAGTGGGTATTAACGATTCTTATAATTTAATTAAATAATTAAAATATATTGATATAAAATGTTTTTTATATCGGTTGTGTTTTGTGTTAAAATATTTACGATCAAAATGTCAATCATTCGTGGGAGCTTCAGTGCTTTAGTGGAAAAAGAGTATGGTGGCATTTAATATAACTCATGATGGCATTCTTGGAATAATCATTTCAGCCTCTTTTACTTACATGTGTTTTACAAGTGTCAAGACTTTTCTGATTCTCGTGGCAATTATCCCATTCGATAATTATTAGGCTTGTGCAATTTGGGTTTCGTAGGAGACTAGTGTATTGTCTCGAAAAAATCCTCTTTCCTTCTTCTTTTCTACTTTCATCTTTCTCGAAAAATATATTGGTATGAGTTAACAATAGGAAAGTGAGAAATCCAATCTTCTTCTTTGGATAAACACATTGTCTTTCCAGCTTCTCCTCCCAAGGTAATAATGGATAAGAAAATAAAATTCATTCACGCTGAGATATTGTGTCTTTGTATTCCAATGCCATCATGATCAGCAAGTTTCATATTGGTGTTAGGTTTTCCAGTACAGGTGATCAGTGTTTTTTACACAGATATTTATCATTTATTTTAGCTATCATTTCTTTTACTTGTCGAGGTTTTATTTCTTTTTATCGCATATTATGCTTTGGTTTTGTGTTTTAGTATTTTCAGGTTCAAAAGAATAAAACAGGAGAAATCGAGACGGGAAAAGTGCAGAATTCAGAGTTTCAGAGGAAGTGCTACAAGAGCCCTAACACAGGTGGCCGTGTCACTTGACATGGACCGTGTCAGAGGGAAGACTTGGAAATCAAGGAAAACCAGGGGGCTCACACGGGCGACAGTGTTGCCTAACATGGGCCGTGTCAGCATGCTTGGAGCAAAAAAAAAAAAAGAAATTCTTGATGGCCAACACGGGCGACAGTGTTGCCT